GCTTCCAGTTTGTGTCTGCTTGCGAAAACATAACACGATGGGGCAATCGTTGAGCCGGCATCCGCAACACATGTCCTAGCCATCGAAGTCTCCGGAGTGAGATGGCGGCACTCAGAGGACGACTGAGATTGTCTGCAGTGAAGATTCTTCGGCGAACCCCGTCGTTGGTGATTCGCTGTTGCCAACGTATTCTGGCGATGGAACGAAGGCAACGGTGGTCAAAGACACTTAATCTCCATACGCCTTCTGCGTGGAGGGGCCAACTCTCACAGCCGTAGAGTAGGAAAGAGCGTACTGCTGCATTGTAAACGCGGCCTTTCAAGGAGAGACTGAGATCGCGTCGGCGCCACAAGTGACGTAGGTTAGCGAAGGCCACTCGGGCCTTGCGGATACGCGCTGATATTTCTTCCGTCAGTCCTCTTGAGCTGAAGCAACTCCCGGGATAAGTGAAGTGATCGACGATTTCCAACTGATCGTTCATAAGCGTGCCTCTTGTCCGTCTTGTAGCAACACCTTACATTTCGGTGGAGAAAATGTCATACCAAACTGCGTGACGGACAATGCTAACTTACACAGGACGTTTTGAGCGTCCTGGGAGAAGTCGCAGAGTAAAACGATGTCGTCAGCATATTCCAAGTCACGGAGTTGGTCACCTTGGAGGAGCTCCACACCGGAAGCGCTGCAGTTTTCTAGAGTACTGCTTAGGATTTTGTCTATTGCGAAATTAAAGAGGAAGGGCGAAACTGGCCTCCCTTGTCGAACTCCGCTTGTGAAGGTAAATGACGGGGAGATGCGACCATAGACCTTGACGCGGCCTGATGTGTTTGAGTAGACGGCTTTTAGAAGGTTTATATACTTCTCAGGCACACCGCTCCCTATCAGACAAGTCCAAAGAGCTGCTCTGTCAACTGAGTCAAACGCAGCACGTACGTCCAAAAACACAATGGTCGGTCTACTGGACGTTTGACTTTGCTCGAGGATCTGGCGTAGCGTAAATATGTGATCAACGCAGCTCCCGCCTGGACGGAATCCAGCTTGTTCTTCGCGAATTTGACGCTCTCTTGTCCAACAGAGCCTGCGAAGGATCAACGACGTTAACAGCTTGGATGCGACAGAGATGAGACTGATCCCTCGGTAATTGGAGTAATCGTGGCGGGGACCCTCTTGAAAACACGTACGACGTCCGCCAAACTCCATTCGGATGGAATGGATTCAGTATTCTAGATGGTTTGGAATAAGAAAGTTAGTTCGCGAACAAAGCTTGCACCACCGTCTTTGAATAGGGTCAGAGGGAGTTCATCTGGACCGGGCGATTTGTGGCGTTTCAGAAGTCTGATCTATCGGAAGACTTCCTCTTCGACTGGCGATGAAATGTCCACAGACCATGGAGCACTACAGACATCAGGAGATGGAGGTGATGTCGATGGCCAACTGAATTATTAATGAAAGTGCTCCGCTCAGCGCCCAAGCCGACGTTATAGATTGTGGATACATTCACGATTAATTTCGCATATGGTTTCATTGACGCATGGTTTTTTTGTTACCGGTGGCTCGAATTAGTCGAAAAAGTTTGTGAGCATTCCCGGAAGCAGAGGCTAGTTCCATCTCGGAAGCGCGTTGTGCCCACCAGGTCTCTCGATCCTCTTTTAGGAACCGTTTCAGTTCAGCACTGAGAGTCCTGCGAACTGTGTTGTATTCATTGCCTGGAAGGATGCTTCGACGAGTGTCGAGGAGTTGGAGAGAACGTGCCGAAACCCAGTGATTGACGGTGCGTTTGGTGAAGTCATATGCTGTGGTGGCGGACTTATGCATGGCGTTACGGATGCGGGTCCATTTGTTGTCAACGTTTGAGGATGACAGACTGTCTAGATCAGCAGCTAACGTGTTTTGGTAGGCGGTAACTACGTTTGGGTTGGTCAGTTTCATCAACCCGAGTCTTCTCGAGTAACGTTGCTGTTTTCCGCCAGAGCGCAGAGAGAATTTCGCGCACAGGAGTGCACGATCAGAGCTGTGATATGTGCTCCAGATGGATTTGCAGTCCGTTATGCAATTTCTCCATCGATAGCTGATGGCAATATGGTCTATTTGAGTCCAGAGCTGATCAGACGATGGAAGTCGCCAGGTAGCACGTTGGCGCCATGGTCGGCGAAACTTTGTGCTCGAAAGGAAGAGACCATGTTCAGCGCATATTTGCAGAAGACGGTCGCCGTTGTCACTTCTCC